AACTGTTGTCCGTCTCGTTATTCCGACTGGGGGGGCAAAGAGAAGACAGCAATTCCACAGATTCCCTCTCCCACTGCAGGCCACTGAGTCTCTTGAAATTTTATTCTTGGGGGGGGGTCTGTGGACCCACACGGACAGCATAGGGGCAAAGCTGTGGTCTTCAGAGGGAGAAAGAATTGTGGAAATTGACATCCTGTCTAAAGAACATGTAAGTCTTTGGAGTATATTGTTTGATACAGGCCTATATTTCTTTAGTGTTGTATCTGGCATTATCTGAACAAAATGTCATTTGTTTTCTGAACATGATGGTTGCTGAAAGCCTGGAGATGTACTGTAGTGTGGTCCAATTACAGAGTGCTTCAATCCACTGGAAGGTTTCTGAGAATAGGATTTTAGTCATGGAGCACGCCTGTCTCACCTTCCTCAATCAGCTGCAGACCAAAATGCCCTCTGAGAAGCTGGTCCTAGGGGAGAGGGAGCCCAAGGGAACAGCATGATGGCAAAGTTGGAAGTCTGCTATAGGAAGGAGAATAGTTAAAAAAAAAATCTCCTTTGCACATGTGAACATTTTCCAGCACCATTGCCTTTATTTGATGCCTAGGGTTATAGTTCACAAGACATTTGCTTGAACTATATTAGGAAATGTTAGAAATCAGTTTCCTTTTCTCATTTTTCAGGAAATCTTCCAACCTGATTTTAAAAGTCTAGTACAACTTCTAAGCCCTAAATTGGCCACATGACTTTGGAAGAGTCATGGTTCATGTAATCCTCTACCTTACCTTAACTTTAAAACAAACTAACAGTTACCCCAATTGCTGGGGTATAGCATTTCAGATTGCTAAATATCTGAATGCTCCCTGATATAAATTGTATATTAAAAACAAGTACATATTTTATGTCATACAATAGTCAGATGTTTAATATCTTGTCTATACTCTGAAATAGTATAGCCAATAGGTATGTGGGACGTCTTTCTACATTCTTCTGATTTTAGATGGTGATCACAGGTCAACTGTGGGAAGATCTAGAGGAGTTAGCTGTGTTAGTCTGTTGCAGAAAAATAGTAAAAAGCCCAGTAGCACCTTTAAGACGAACAAACTTTATGTATTTATTTATTGTAGCATAAGCTTTTGAGAAACACAGGTTTCTTCATCAGATGTGGGAAGATCTGTAATTCACTCTCAGTTTCTGTTGCTGGCTGTGCTAAGATTAATTTCCTGCTCTACTCTGAGACATGGTATTATTTATCCTTATGCCAACCCAATCAGATATGACACCAGTTCTGCTTTTAGACTGAGGAACTGAAGCTGAGGGCCACTTTTTTTGACCTAGGCAACCCACTAAGCACATGGTTACATAGAAACCAGGTTTCCTAGGTCCATACTGACTCTGGGCTGGGGCTGTGCAACCTGATTCTCTGGATTTCTGTATCTTCCTTGGAACTGAGGTTCAGTTTATTCAATAGAACTTGAGTGTCTATAGGATTCCAGTCTTAGTATTTCCATGTCTCTGTGACTGCAGAAATGAGATCTTATTAAATAACTTTACATTGTTAACTCCTGCCATTGTCAGAGATGCAAAATCCAGGTGGCCAGTAGCCACTGATGCTTACAAAATTGAACTTTGCCACTGGAATGCTGGAGAGGGCAGCAAGCAGGTTACTCCTCCTTCCTTGAGTGTTGTTACATGTGGGAACTGGCTGCCTCCTCTTTTCCCTTCCTTCCTAAAATCAGTAACTGGAACAGCCCAGCTGTTACATGTGGGAACTGGCTCTTTTCCCTTCGTTCCTAAAATCAGTAACTGGAACAGCCCAAAGATGAAGATTTTCAGGAACCATTACACGCTGGTACTTCTCAATTTCCTCTAGGCAGTTTTGGAAGAAGTGGTTGAGTTGGAAAAGATATGCACCCACCAGCAAAAATAGGATCTCTCCACAAGCTGGTGCTCTCAAGTCTGTCCTTCCTTTGAAACCCAGAAAGCTCCCAGAGGAATATTTTCCCCTTTAGGCCTGACCCAATAAGAAGAGAATCCTTGTAATGACTATTTCAGAGAACAGCTGCATATTAGGATATGTTTGCTCTGCGTTCTTTCTTCTCTTCTGCCAATTATCAGCATAACAGGAGAAAGTAGGGAGTAACTGTCCTCTCATATATCTCCTAACCACATAGTCCCTCATGTCACGCAGACAACATTCGTCTGTATTAAACAGTAATCAGCAAACAAGTGTTTTGTTTTAAGGACCTGTGCTTGGCATTTGTGTTAATAGTATTTAACAGCTGCCATACTGAAGGTAGCATTAAATAAAGCATAATTATGTTCAAAACAATCAAACTTTTAACTTCAGTTTATGACAAGTGAAAAGAACACAAATAATACAGTGTGTGTGTGTATTATGATGCTGATTTTTTAAAATGAATGTAGGTCTTGATTTTTCCCTCCCTGAATTATTTAAAAATATGGAATATAACTATTCTGCTGTGGTGCTTTATTGTACAGAATATACTTAAAGTTCTTTTCTCTCTGTGAGATGCAAAGCAAATAATTCGGGCACACAAATACTCCAGGTACACAAATACTGTAAAGCATTCTAAAGCAATAATATACAAAGCTCTCAGATGTGTAATAAAAAGAAGTTAGAACCTCTTTATAGAAATAGGCCACATTTTTGAGACAATCTGGTAGGTAATGGCCACAGAACAAAGCTATATTATTAGTGTACTCTAGTAAATGTTCATTGGGGAAATGCACAATATAGTTCCCCGAACAGTATTTAAAATGAATGTTGATTACTCTAGTACAGCAAATGTTTGGTGAGCTCATGGTTATGTATATGTATGGTATGCATAATATCACATATGTGTGATAGGAATATGCAGCCATTTTAAAATAATTGAAAAATCAATAAAACTCTGTTTTCATTTGTTTTCAAACAAACATTCATGGGAATTAACATAAATGAACAAATCCCATTTCTTTCATTTTCACTTGTTACAATGTAAAATAAAATTTTGGTTGTAACTTTGTTTTTTTTTCTATCCAATTTGGAAGAATTCTGTCCAAATTGGATGAAATGTCATAATTCTATCCCTGACTGAAGGGATCCTGCTTGCTAACTTTCAGACAGATAGGAGAAAAAATACTAGTGTTGTAGGGATTAGGGAAATACCACAATATCTTTATTTTCCTTACAATTTGTATGAAATTAACAGTACCCCTTGTCCAAAGGAGAAACTCTGCCAAATTTTAGAGGGATTGAATAAAGTGTCCCATTTTTATTGCCAATTAAAATGAAGACTGCTGAATAAAAATAAGGGGTGCTTTAGCAACTAGAAAACTTGCTATCCAATTATCATGAAATGTGGGGAGACATCTGTATTCACCTTGGGGATTTTTACACAAACAGGAAGTTTTCAATCAGCAATCAAATACATTGGGAACCATTCATTTAATTTAATGATCAAATTAATCAGGAAGCATTCAAAGCAAACAGGAAGCATTCAATCAACCATGAACAGTTTTAATAAGTCTTTTATCTATGTAATGTGAGGTTAGAGGATGGGGGAGGGGAGAGAGGGGGGAACTTATAAGAAGAATTTAATGAATTATCTCTTCTATGTTTCCTATTGCCTATAGAACAGAGACTATTTTAGATGTGTCTCTGAAATTTGGCAGGTATAAGCTCTTGGATGAAGGGTAAAGTCCCTTAAAGTGTCACCAAAATAGAATGGAAAACAAGATAAGCAATGCTGGTTCACCCTGATTATGCCCACTGTTAAGTGGCAGAATATGTAGCAGTATTCAAAAGCAAATTTTCCTGAAAATGTCACTCTAATTAGGTTTTGTCTCTCTCAGAGTTACAATTATAAATCTATTTCCCATTGAATAAAATAGAAAACTAAAGTGGATTAATACAAGAATGAATGAAGCAAAACCAAATGATTCAATAGAAACAAAAACAAGGTAGAAATTCATACATCTGTAATGAGATCTGCACTGAAGATTCTTAATACATACACTGGCCTAATAATCCATTTTATGTATTTAGGACCTGGTGCATACTAGATGTAGATCTTACCACTTTTTCAGCAACCTTAATGATTGTGGCTTTGAACCAACTTCAAAACATGGTAGCCAATAGAATCCAGCAATGTGGTTCTTGGATGGTCCTGCTCCACAGAGGATCCTACCTTGTAACTGGATATGACTGGTAATCATCCACCTTTGATCGGGGGGTTACAAGGAAGCATGCCCTGACATCTTTTTAGAATGTTTTTTTATTTCTGTGAGAATCTAGGCTTGATGGTTGCCCGAAGTAAATGAAAATATGCTGGTGTGTAATAACAGGCCAATCAAAGTGAACCAACATCGTTTGTCTTGATCATAATCTATGATTCATAAAAACGCTCATATAAAGTTGCTTTTGAGATCAGTGGTATCACTCTGATTTCAAATGAATGTGAGGTCATCTGGCCTACAGCGTTTTTATTCACATAATGGGATTGATCAGTTACATATATGGATTAAGCTCTGGCTGGGCCTTGCAATCCGAAATTCTGTTAAAAGAATTCTCCTACATAGTAGGGCTTCACACTGATCCTGCCATACTTGTTGGTATTCAGAGTTCTGTGTGATTTCCTGGGAGTGATTGAACTTGAGCAACCAGTAATGTCACAATTTCTTGTAATAAATATCTTAGGGTTTTTTTGGTACGACTGTCACCGCCAAATGTAGTTCTTATCCAGGTATTCCAAACGTATCTCCAAGACAATGAGTAGAAACAAGAGCTTGTAAGGCTGGACTATACATGGATCTCCTCCACTGAAAAAACTCATTCTAGCTCAAGATGGTGAATGAAGAGAAATGGTGGAAATGGCTGGCCATGTAAGGCTCAAGATGGTAAATGAAGAGAAATGGTGGAAATGGCTGGCCTATGCACTAAGTAGGTCTGAACAGCTGAAAAAAGGCAGAGAAGGAAATGCCAGAATTAGAATGAAACTGACCTATGCATACATTCTCATCGTCCAGCTCTGCAGAAGCATTTCTGAAGTAGCCCAGCCTGCACAACTCACAGTGCTGCCCTCTAGTCTTGTGTTTACAGCTCACACAAACGACTGTACTGAGCAGTTCGATGTAAGTGCATCGGTTGGAGTGGCGGAAGCATTCACAGTCTTGCAAGGAAGAACAGAAATGTACACAAAGGGTATTCTGTAGCAGAGTTACAGCAATTCACATGCTTGTGTGTGGTTTTTGTTTTTTGTTTTGTTTTAAATGAAGCATGAATAGATTATGAATGAGTAGCAGCACAAAATGTTCATTAATTTTACGTAGCATACACGGACAACAACAGATGTCAGACTGTTATGAAGGTGGCATCTCTTTTCAGGCAGGTTAGACTGATCAGACAAATAGCATTGAGCGTAAGTCTAATGCAAGTGAAGCATTTGCAGCTGTAAACCTTTCATGGGCTTCATGAGATTAGTTAAAGAATGCTTACTGGAAGCTATCTAGTGTATTTAAGTGTGTGTGGGAGTTCTCCTTTCAAAACACATCCAGGTGATTTTGAACTAGGGAGTTTCTTACGACACATGTTGCATCCTAAACTTCCATGGCAGTATAACATGTATGATAAGCATGGTGTGACCACTAAGCATGTGAAGGGCTTTTATTTCCACCTTCATGTCCAGTGCCTCCCATCACATAATCACACTGGCTGTTCTCACACAACACAAATGCCTATAACATGTAAGAATGGGTGGAACTAAGGGCCAAAGTACATTATACAATTTTTAACAAGTTGGGATGACTTGCTTTCCCTGCAGACTGGCTTTTTAAAAGCATGCAGGGCCCAATTCTGCTTGGGACTGTGGTATGGGGAAAAGACTGCTTTCCCTGGTCAAAATGTCCCCAGGGGGAGTTACTAGCTTCATTTTGGAGCTGCATATGCATGGAATACTGCATGGCAGCTCCAAAGTGGGGCAAATCCTTACAACTCCTTCTTAGTGGCCATCTTTTAATTGAGATGAAGAGCCTCAATCAGTAGACTTACTGGCCTGCTTATAAATGATCTACCACATTGTGGCACTTTTCACATTCTAAACTGGATGTTATTCATTGTTGACCTGATTTCGAGTAAAGCGATACAGGGACAGGAGTTTCATACAGCAAATTTCCTTCCATTAATGAGCCGTCCATGAAGTGCTATGGTAATTTCAATCAATGTCGCTTTCCCCCCTGCCCCCTTTCACTGCACAATCTTCCTTGGACTTAAAAAAATGTTCTAAGGTGAGCAGTATAGCACTAAACCGCTATAGCACTTCAGTGCTATAGCGGCACTATTGAGATGCACTGACCTGGTAGAAAAGGGCAGGAAAAAAAACGGCACTGTAGGAAGCTCTATGGACATTTTAAACAGCATACCACAATGATTCAGAAGCACAACAAAAGGTCTGAAAACATACAAAAGCAGTTTCCCTCAAAAGTGGCTCAACCACGCATTGCTAACCCAACACAAGTGGGTTTGTATGAACAGGTAAATAAATTCTGCTAGCAGCCAATTACTAAAACGGGCCTCTCTGAAATGACAGAAAAAATCCATTAGCAACCAGTTACTAAAGCGGAATACAAAAGCAGTTTGTAAAGGGTCTGTTTATAATCTTAGCTGTAGAAGAACTAGATTTTAGTCCAGTAGCACCTTAGTATAATCTTTTGAATGTCAAAGTTTTCTTTGTCAGATATCACAGACTGAAAATTCTTATGAAGTGTCTGAAGTGCCCCACCAAAGTCCTCAAACCATATGCTTATTGCTGGGTCAACAGCCATTTGAACTGACTGTGAATGGCCGTATTAAATGTTCTTGAAAGGAGTCCATCAACAGCAGTTGTTCTCAGATTGGCCTCATGGCACACGTGCACAAGTGAGAAACCAAAACCATACTAGCCAGGGGCTTTCTGAAAGTTCAAGCTGTTTTGGTCAGTTATTACATTTCTTAGTAGAAGCTTCAGGAAGAAGAGTTCAAGTTCTCCTACCACCTTCAATATATGGTTTTGATCAGTTTAGAGTGTTTATTTTCAGTACTATCTGCCCTGTTAGCTATTTAGCGCTCTGTCAACTGTCCACTGCTTCCTGGATCATGAATTAATGTAAGTAATGCTGGAGAAGATGGAAGAGTTTGTAGTGACAAACTCATATTTGCCTTTGAAAAGTGTAAGTGCACACATTAACACCTTGGTTTAGCAGAAAAACACATGACTTCAGCTATAAAACATACTGCTAATTAATGGCCATGATCTTTAAAGTGATAGAACCATTCAGCAAATTATCACATTTCTTCTTGTCAACAGGACCTGTCCTGTTAGTAACTCTGGCTTGACAAATCCACAACTTAATACAGTGTTTGACATGAAGAAGAAGAGATTGGATTTATACCCCACCCTTCACTTGGGAGTCTCAGAGCGGCTTACAAACTCCTTTCCCTTCCCCTCCCCACAACAGACACCCTGTGAGGTGGGTGGGGCTGAGAGAACTCTGACACAAACTGCTCTTTTTCAAGGACAGCTGTGCCAGAGCTTGTGACTGACCCAAGGTCACATCAGCAGGTGCAAGTGGAGGAGTGGGGAATCAAACCCGGTTCTCCCAGATTAGAGCCCGCACACTTAACCACTACACCAAACTGGCTCATGATGAAAGAAGTGCAATTGGCCTGATGTATGGTCTGGCAAAACCAGTTTGCTTCATCCATTTGGGATTGTATTTAGGAAAGCTGATTAAAATGAATGGGCACAATTCATATGTAAGATTCCATCTGGATGAGACAGGCAAGATTCACTAGCAGAAATGTCTGCAAGTTGGCCTCAGCATACGTTTTTTATCACATCTGAAGGTAACTACCTCTCTCATAAGTAAAACTGATAATGCAACCATATTAGGGAAGCCAATCTGCAACACTGACACTGGACATGGGCCTGATATAGCCATAACAAATAACACCTTCTACCTGCTTCCTTTGCTATTCTCCCTCACTTCCTGAGCAAAATTCCCATTGTACAGCACAACAGGCAAGGATGGCAAATAAAAGCATCAGAGAAGGAGTTGCTAGGAAGAAGGAACAGTGGTTGACTAAGCTCATAATGCAGAACTGCATCAGAACACCAAAACAGCATAGCTTCCCTTCAGCACATTGCTTTTGAGGAAATATCAAGAGACTTTATGAAAAGACACAGAAGTGTGAAGGTGCACCAATGGAGTACATAGACTGGTGAGCGACAGGCAACCTTTTGGGTCTAAGTTCCAATCTCCCTGCAACATCTATCTATGAAGCATGGGCATGTAAGGCAGAGATGTTCTGCTGGGCCTTTGGTTGAGGACAGCGACGGGGGCGTCCCTTGGCACTCTCAGACAAGTCCCCATTACGGGCACTCTTGCAGACCCTTGGCACTCTCAGACAAGTCCCCATTCCTCATAACTCCTCCCCCTAGGGAGGCTGGGGAGTTGGAATCCTTTCCGCTATCTTATATATGCTGCGTTTTTGCCATCTCATATATGCTGTTTTTATGTATTGGTATTTATTGGGCTGTTTTAACTTAAGTTTTAATTTGAGATTTGTGTATTATTTTGTTGCAAGCTGCCCTGAGCTCTACTTGTAGGGAAGGGCGGCCTAAATATAAATAGGTGTGTTTGCAGAGAGCAGCTTCTCTTGGTCAGTTGTACTGACTTGGTGCCAAATTAGATGTTTCAGCAGCCCCCGACATTTCTACTTACAGAGCATGATTCTGCCACCCTCTTCCTCATTTTGTACTTCTACCAGAGGGGGGAGGGGAAAATTAGGCTCCCTGAGTGGAAATCATTGCATCTGAAGAAATATTAGACTGGATACAACCCACTAGGAGCATGCTGAACCCCAGTGGCACTGCCAGTCATTTCAGGGTTGCCTTTGTCCCTTGGGCAGAAAATCGAAGCTAAGGCAAAGGAGAGTAAAGCTGGTAAAGACTGAAAGTTATAAATCGCTGGTTTAGATAACAATGAAAGGTTTGGTGCTTTCCTCTTTACATATTACAAAGTATGCAGGTTGGGTCTAGGGATCCCCATCTTGCGTATTGAGCAAATACGAGTTGTGGATTCTCCTCAAGTCCCACGTGGGTGATGTCTGATTCAGATCCTGCACTAGAAATGAGGACATCCCACAATTCATGTCTGACTGTAACACAGGATGGGGCCTCAAGCTGTGTATTCTGCAATACATTGCTGCTTGGAGAGATGAGAACTAAATTTCCTCTGGCTAAGAGTAAATACCTGAGATGTAAGTTGGTCTGGATTGCACCCTGATCACTCTAGTAACATCTATTAGGGGAAATCTCCAGGTAAGGTATTTGATGTGGTATCCTCCCACACCATTGTCAAGCTGGTATAGAAAAGAGACACATCACAATTCCCCTGCCTGGGAACCCATTGCCTGACTCACATGGTTCATCTGCAGACAGAATTGGTTAGCCACAGAACTTCCATCATTTTTAGGATAGTAAAGATAGTAAATTGGATGCCCTATCCAAAATGGAACCTTGCAGGTCTATTTATACCTTAATGTCCTCAGCTCTGAAGGTGGGGACACAGAAAGCAGGCTTGAGAGGCAGAACTTAACTGGTTGCTCATTTCGCCCATATTTATTTAATTATTTATTTATTTAAAATATTTATATGCCTGCCTTTCTCTTGAGAATCTCAGGACCCATGCCAATAGGATATGCATTTTGCTACAATAGTACCACTTCCTACCATGCTGGCACCATTAGATACTGAACACATATTGAATCCTATTTGCCAAACTCTAAAGCCATTTTGCAAATAATATTCTTTGCTTTGCCAACTAGCAACAATCTGTTTCTTAATGGCAAATCAAAAGGTAATTAAAAATGTTCTTTAAAAAAGAGAGAAAAATCTTAGCACACTGCTATGAACCTCTAAAACAACATAATAAAGAGAAGCATTAAAAATCACCAACCTCATGCAACTAGACAACCTCTGCTACCATAAATTGTCAATAGTGTTGAGAATGCCAATATCAAACACTTTTAAGTTTCATTGATTTCAATAGGAGAGATTTAAACACAAGTTTTACTTTTCTGCTGAAATCATTGGGATGTAAAAGTGCTTAACTTAAGGCTAGAATGTGCCTTTGGATTCAAATAACATATCCTGAAATTGTCCAGTTCTGTTTGGATGTTGATTGAGCCCTCAGTGACAAGGGACAGGAAGTATGAGACGTAATTGTGTTGAATAATAAATAATAATAAAAGACTGCTAATTTCTATAACCTGGACACAATTACACTGCTGAAACAAAATCACACACTGGAACTAAAACAAGAAAACACACCAAGATGACTAGGAAAATGGTACATTTAAACTAAGAACTGGAAATACTGAGCTCCTCCCACATAACCTGGAGAAATTATAAAGAAACTTAGTGTTAGAGCTTTATGGGCCACCCAGGGTTTGTTCATTTTGGGGGGTGTTGGGACCTAAACCACCCTCTGCACTAGGACAATAGTAGCTATGAGTTCTTTGCTCCTGAACAGAATGGATAAGTCAATCAGGGTTTTGTAGGGAGGCCTGCAAAAAGTGATGTTGCTGTAAAGCCCAAGAACTACCCCCTAGAGCTTCATCAGAGTTAGTCTCCATGGTAGTGTTGTCCAGCTCCTGCAGGAGGAAGGGAGATACAAGTGTTGAAGGAACTGCATTGTGGGCTCCTTCCATGTGACCTATCACTTCTGTCATTACAAGATCAGTATAGGAAAAGAGTAATGGCACCAGCAGTGGTGGAGGAATGGCAGAGGGTCGCCTAGGGAATTACTGGAGTTACCATGTTGTCATCTCCTGGGACATGTTTTACCAGCAAAACTGTGTCTCAAAAAATCCAGGACTTTAAAATAAATCTAATCAGGAACAGGAAGCCACTTTGACATAACAGGAATAAACACTATGAGACAGAATTATGGAGCCTATCTGCTGTGCTTCAGCAGTTCTAGCAGCAAGATAGCATTGAACTTGAAACAGAGTACATTCTATTCACCCCCAAGGAAACGCAATGAACCAGGACATATTCTGGAACATACTTACACAGACCAACATCACTGTTTGTATAGACAAATGTAAACACATACTTTATTTTCACTCCTTACATATATGGAGAATTTTTATATATCTATGACTCTATGGTTCATTAGCCTTTTGCATTATTTTACAGCACTGCTACAGAGGATTTGGATTACATCCCTTGGAATATTCCTGTTTCTCTTTTGATATTCTGTAGCTGTAATTTCCACAAATGCACCAGCTCCTCTTATTCAGGTCCTACTCAGCAGCTAAAATGGAAGCCTATGATTGAGCTTGGAAGTGGTAGGTTCTACTGTCTTAAAACAACTTTCCCAGTCTATATGCAGTAAAATTATTCTGCAGTGACAGAAAAGTACCTTTAAACCATTGCCATACCATTCCCCTTTTTCCACTCATTTAAGGTGTAAACTGGGAAACATTTTTGATTTTCATTACAATTTCTAAATTCTAAGATCTTTGTAAACTAATTGTAAACTATTGATCTTTTTGATGTTGTTGTTGTTAGCCTGCGAGCCACGACAACACTCATTCAATGAGTTATGATACACTAACAATAGCATTTTTTTTGGGGGGGGGGAACCCCAAAGCCCAACCTTTTATATTATATCCTTAAACAGATAAAATGATACAGAGAAAAATGGCAAAACATTTCCAGTCTTTGACTGACAGTTGCCCAGCTGGGGTTATCTGTCTGGGAACGGCCATGGCTTTTGTGCTTAAAAATGTCAATATAATATCAGTATTTTGATAAAATAATGGAATTCATATGGAATTCATACAATCTCTTGGGATACTGAAGTTGAGAGTTTCCACCAAAATTTTGCCTAAAGTAAAAAATCCAAGGTGATTATGGAGGTTCCTTCAGAGGCAAGCATCTGAAGAATTACAAGAGAAACTAAGGATCCCGCCGCGCCGTGTCAACGTTGGCGCGGCTTTTATGGAGGTTGCTTCAAAGCGCCTTTTCTCCTGCGTGTGGCAGGGGCCTAAGAGAGTTCTTATTGGTAACATTTAAAGTATGGGAGTTGTTACTTGAGCTCCACTGAAACGAAGGGAACTGTGCAAAACCTCCCAGTTATTTCAGCAGGTCTTGTGCAGTGTTCCCTCTAAGCTGAGTTAGTGTGAGCTAGCTCACAGTTTTTTTAACCTCCAGCTCACACATTTTTTTCTTAGCTCAGGAAGGATGGCTCCAGAGCAAACTAATTGATGCAGTAGCCAAATTGCTCACTCACAACTTTAATGTCAGTAGCTCACAAAGTAAAATTTTTGCTCACAAGCCTCCACAGCTTACAGGGAGCATTGAACTTGTGGATGGATTGTGTGCCATTTCACAAATAAAGTGTGGTCAAGATATAGAAATGTAAAAGAATGATATATGTGAGGTGTAGCTTTCAAAGATGATACTTTTGAAACTGGATATTTGGTCCTCAAGACATTTGTGAACCTGTCCTTAGCAGACCAAAATTTATTTCCCCAGCTACGATAGCAAATTAATAACACATGTATCAATTTATCAAACATTCATTTTTACACCATTAGAATGTTTTTAACATTTGATGACATAAATAACATGGAGGCTGCTGTCTTATGTGAAAACAGATATAGCTACGAATCACATGTTTTTAGCAGGAGCAATACTTAAATCTTCCATTTGTTTTTATTAGTGCATCCTCCACTAATGGAATGATACTAGGTACACCACCACAGATATTCCAGATTCATACAGTGCAGTCTTTTTCACAACACAAAACAAATGCTAGGAAATCACTGTATGAATGCAAGAATTCCTACCTCTCTTGTGATTTGCAACTTGAATAGAAGAAACAGTAGACAAAGCTAACTTTGGACCAACTGGATAGGTTTAAAAAAATGAAAAAGGAAATTAGAAAACTTCAGATAGGAAGAAATCATTTGATAAAAAAATAGGATAACGTTGCTTATTTTTAAAAAAAATCTGCCTGCATAAATCTCCAGGAATGAATATCTTTGAGCACAAGCCAATAAGCACTGTTCAGGAACCAATCCTTTTATTTTCAATATATTTTTTTGTGAGCAGTGGTGGGCAAATGCATCCTTGGAACGCTGTTGGCTGTTCTTAAAGGAAAAGACAAGGTTGATGATGGCAATAGAGTAGGAACTCTCTTTAGTTCCCTTCCAATATTTCCTTTGGTGGTGTGGAAGCCAATGCAAAATGATTATTCCCTATGCTGCTCATTAATGTTGGAAGGAGTCCATACTGTGGCTTCTTTCCACGACAGTGTTGTCCCAATTTCCAGAAAGGAATAATGGCATAAGGAGTCAGAGTATTCTCCAACATTACTTTGGACTTCTGACAAAATTGCTGCAGTGGCTTCCTTACCATAAAGGTAAGATCAGATGGGAGTCTTAATACTGAAAATGGCGGATGAAAGAATCTACAAAATAGGAACATTGACTCAAGTTGGAATGTGTGTGTATATAAAATAAAGAAATATCTAGAGATCCTACTTTTCCTGTTGGCTGTGAAGTATGAGAGAGACTGCATGTCTTATTTTAAAAATGGTGAACAGAATAGTTATGACTAATTAATTAAAATATGGAATATATATACTTCTGTTTGGAAAAATCCATACTTCAGAAACTTAACTCCTACACCAGTTAGGTGTCTTGATCCACAAAAGCTTATTTGCATACAAAAACAGGTGTTTACATGTGAATTCCCTTTAATCACAAGACCACCAGCTTTAGCAATACAGTATGTATGTGAGATGTTCGTGCATCACATGCAAACTGGCTAAGATAGGAACAGTGCTGTTTGCTCTGATGGCATAAATCTTGCAGTGGCAGTAAAAGAGACAACAAATTTAGTCTGGGCATCCCTTACGCAAACTATGATCAGTGTTATCAGTTTTGACAGTGCTGGTTACACTGGGTGGGGGCTGAGTGGGGGCTCCGTGGTTCCTGTACTGCGGTACTTCTACTGCTGTATTAGGAAGCCCCTTTATTAAATTACTATTATGGCAATATTTGGGTTTATTTGTTTTTTGCTTGGACTTTTCTAGTTGACCTTAGCAACTGACTGTATTTTGTTGCTTCCACTGGGCACCTATGTTACAACTTATTTGCAGTTCCATTTGTTCAACAAGGGAAAGCAATTGAAATGCTAAATGTATCTTGATTCACTCATTATCACCAATATTCAATTGATTGTAAAATGCATAATAAATAATTTTCTCTGGAATTCAGGGCCAATCTTCATGGAGAGCTGTTGAGCAGAGACCTGCTATTTTACATATCTTCAAGGGCCATATGAAAACTTGTAAAATATAATATGGATACCATGATTAAGGCAGTTCTAGCTGTTAGTAATGTATGTATCTAGGGCAGTCTCAATTTCATCCTTGCGATCAAGGGCTAAGACTGCAGTCCTTCCATTCCACCTCTTCAACAAATTGTTAATACGTTTAGTTTAGCTTAGAAACTATTTCCTGGATGCTCTTTTGCTCATTTCCTCCTGCATCTGTATTCATTAGAGTTTAAAAGGAATATCCTGTATATAATGATAGCAAGCTGTAAACCAATATTATATTTTATGGGAGGGGAAACAAGGTAAGTTCACATGAAATAATGAGCAGGTTTACATCTGACTGAACCAATTTGTGGTACAAAGTCACTGTAGGAACGTAAAGTAAAAAATGCCAGCATTTTTGCTATATCGTTCATTGCCTGTCTTTGTTTAAAAAACCCCATTCCATTCCTTTCTGGAATAATCATCATGCCACAGTCTTGTCAGTAAATTTTTGTGTGTGAATGTCATTGGAATTCAGATGTGGAACTGGTGCACTAGGGATTTCAGACAGAGAGATTGCTGTCAGTGCTAGTGGAAATGTAACGCTTTAAGCTTGAAAAAAAGAATATGGGAAACATCCTACAAAGTGACCTGACCTCCTGAAAAAGGAAGCAGAGAAGAGAAAAGCTCTGCTTTTTGAAAATGCTGCATTGTTCAAAGAAATTCCCTGAGAATATGGTTCTGCTTCCAACACCGTAAGTCCTTCTGTTTCAGTGCAGCCTTGGTGCTGAATACCAACTGAAAATAACATTCATTTCAATTAGAAAAACAAAGCAGAAGAGAAAGACATTAAGAAATGATTTGATGGAGACAAAGGAAATCCCTGGCACTCAGAGAAGTCTCAAAACTTATTTATAAAGCAAACTCCGATGCCTATACAATTCCAGTCTTCTCCAGGGACTCATATTCAATTTAAGTAATAAAAGTGCTTATAGCTTTGGTGAGTAAGATTTCCACATGTTATATAAAGCCTTTTCATGTAAGATTCATTTGTATGATAATAATTCTCAGTAGGTTGTTTGGACAGTATATCTTGTTCTTAGCCCCAAGTGAGAGAAAGAAAGAGGAAAAAAGGCATTTTGCCATCATCTGAAGATTGAATGAAAGCAGTTAAAGTTATTTTAGACTAGCAGGAATTTTACAGAATCCTACCTTGATTTGGGTTAGAAACCCCAAGGGAAGATATATTCGGCAATATCCTATCAAACTTTGGAGGATCTGCATGTATCAGGAGAAATTAGGATTTGTTATTTACATCTGTGATAATATTTTTTTGTTTGTTTCTAAACAGATGTGTATGGAGAAAGACAAAAAGCACAAACATCCATTACTGGACTTTCTCTATGACACACTTGGACAATACATCACTGCCACATTGAACAAGAACAAGCAATTGATGATTCCCAAAACATTGAATGGACATTTACATACTGTATGTATATGTAACACTTTGTCTTTTGTATAATTTAACAGTAATAATTGTTATGCTGAAATATGAATAAGAGGGGCTGATTATTTGGAATTTTCTCATTCACGACAGAGTAATCTGTAATTGTATACCTCTTCACAAGAGATGCCATTGAGGGAGGGAAGAGGGTGAGGAGGTTACTCTTCCCATCTTTCAGATCACATGTAATAATTCTACCAGGTCACCTGTATCTCTAACAAACCCACTGCCAATAGTTTGAACCAAATAGATATATGTACCAGGCATGCATGCCTGTCAAGGCAAGCACTGACAATTGGAAAAGTCCTGTTTCTTTCACTTGAAAAAAAATGACTTTCACCTTTGTTAATAATACACATTATAACAAGGTATAAAAGAGAAAATATATAATATTTTTTAAATGCATTACTTTTTCCAATTTAAATTTGAAATATATCCAAGAGCTCTGAAAAATATTGTGAATGTTGCTTCTTACAAATCTATTTGTCTCTCCTCTGTTAAACTGTGCGGCTTTTTTGAGCCGCACCAAAAGAGACACACGGCGGTGGGATCAGATAGATCCCCCGAGCCACCGCGCAGTTGCTCCCCGGCACGATCAGATGCCGGGGGGAAGCCACGGAATGGAGAGCGAGGCAGCTGGCTGCGCATGTGTGTGCATGCGCAGTTTGGCCAGGAGCCTCAAATGCTGCGGGAGACGGGCGCCCCGGCGATCCCACGGCCACCGTTGCTGCCGAGTTTCAGGTAGGTAGTACTCTTTTCTAGGTTTTTTTTGGATGCACAGTTTTGCCCGGAAAGGACGGATCAGGGACGGGTGCGCTACGCTTCCCAGATGTTGCGGTGTGATTGCGCCCATTTGATGCACCCCCGATCCGTCCCTCTTGCAGGGCAAAACCTCCCGTGTGACCGGGGCCAATGCCTCCCAAAGCATCTGTGCTTTTCTACATAATATGCACAATCCAAAATGCCATGGAACTCTGCTGAAGACACAGTTACACACAAACTTGTGATCATGTGTAGCTGTGGACCCGCACACTCATTCCT